GCCTGGGAACGCCTTGGGGTCCCCCCAGAAGAGCTAGAGGAAGTGTCGAGGGAGAGGGAAGTCTGGGTGTCCCTGCTCAGACTGTTGCCCCCGCGACCCGGCCCCGGATAAGCGGTTGAAGATGGATGGATGGATGGATGGATGGATGGATAGTCTTAAGAGTTTTTTTTCCATCAAGGAGGATGCACCTTGTTAAGTTTCCCTGCAGCAGGTGCAGGGGGTGGCAGGTTAACAAAGGAGATGCATTTTTGCCCTCTTGCCCACAGGAAATCTCCTACTGATAACAGGCGATCTTTTTAGTCACTGTAGGTGATTGTAGTGATGGATTATCTACAAAAAAATGTATAAAAATATAACCACATTTTAGAAAAATAGCCACATTAAAAAACAACACAAAATGATTACCTTGAACATGTTTGGATGTTGTTACAGAATTCGTGCAGAGCAGCGCAGCTCTGAGTCTCGACAGGACGTGGACCAGGCAGTGAAGGAGCACAAAGCTGAGATCCTGGCCCTGCAGCAAGCCCTCAAGGACCAGAAGCTGAGAGCTGAAACCCTCACAGACACTGTAGGCATTTCTCTGCATTTGTACAAGTCTGCACAAGTATTTGTGTGTGTGTGTGTGTGTGTGTGTGTGTGTGTGTGCGTGTGCGTGAGAGCAGATGAGAGAGTAATTAATTGCTACTTTTTTTGTCCTTAGTTGAATGATCTGGAGAAGAAACATGCTATGTTGGAAATGAATGCTCACAGTTTGCAGCAGAAACTGGAGAGTGAGAGGGATCTGAAGCAGAGACTACTGGAGGAGGTACCAGACATTCTGGAGCAGAAATCTGATTTCACCAGTACTACAGAAATATTTTCAAAACAACATCTGTAAATTTTAACAGTCTTTGAAAAAAACAAAAAGCAAGGTCAGATTTGAATTCATTAGCTTTTTCATGTCTGCAGCAAGAGAAGCTGCAGCAGCAAATGGATGCCCAGAAGACCCACATCTTCAGACTGACCCAGGGGCTGCAGGATGCTCTGGACCAGACCGACCTGCTGAAAACTGAAAGGACCAACCTGGAATATCAGCTGGAAAATATCCAGGTGCTGCTACACACACAAAGACATATAAAGCCAGGTCAGAAATCCTGAAAATAATGTATCATTATAGATATTTTTTTTAAGATAGATAAAAAATGAATAAGTCTGGTTTTCATCCTGACAAAGCAAACTGCCCCAAGAGAGCCAACATTAGCTGAGAAATAGCAAACAATTGTTAGAGCAAGGCGTGGAACAAGCGCTAAATCATTTAGTAAAGTTTGCAGAGAATAACAACTAATTAAAAAGTTGGAATGAGAAATAGATAGTAGAAATAGTAAAAAAATGCCAAATTTTTAATCGAAGCCAAAGGTAAGGTTTCGATTGAAGTGATAAAGGGGAAAAGTTTAAACAGGGCATTTGTTGCCCAACATATTGCCAAAATTTAACTCAAAACACTAAAAGACAAATAAAACTTTGCCAAGCAATAGATATTTAAAGATACATTTTATAGCAAAAGTTAATAAGAAACAGAAGGGACAAAAAACAGAAGAAAAGGCTACTTCTAAAATGTCTGTCTGTTTCCTTTTCCTGTTGTCTGCTTTGTTGGGTAATCTGTCTGTTCACACTCACCTGTTGGTAATTAGCTTCACTTGTGTCACCTGGTGGTCCTTGTGTGTATATATACCCCTCTCCCTCACTCTGTCCGTGTTTGATCATTGTGTTTGATCATTGTTGGATCATTGTTCAGTTTGTTCTGTCAGGCTGTTCGTGTTCTGTGTTTTCTTGTGTTCCAAAGAGAATTCCATGCCTGGTAGTTCTTTGTGTTTTGTTAATTTGGACTTTGTTAATAAAACTACCTGCACCAGAAAGAGTCTCTCCAGTACTGCATTTGGGTTCTGCCTGCTTCCTGTCGTTGCCCGCACGTGACAACTTCTTTGCCATAAGAAAAAAAAAAAAAACGGCCAAAAAGTTGACCATAACCGGAAGGTACCCTGGATGTGGTCAAAGGTTTTCCAACAAAGAGAGGTAAATGTGAATTTGTGGGAGTTTTAGAAAATATCTAAACAAATGCTGAAACAAGAATTTTCCTGATGTAAGATACCCATTATTTCTAACTACACAATAAAAATATGTAAAAATTACACTAAATGTTTGGAAATTCCATTTCCACATGCCCATGTTGCACAAGGCCTGTCTTAAGATGTATTTTCCCTATGTATTAAAATGTGATGCATCTACACACAAAGACTCAAAGGGAATGGATGATTTATCCACATGTAATTAAAATGTGAATAATTGGGTATTTTTCAACATCATGTGCTGTTGTTTTTACCCCGTTGTTCCCCCTTTGTTTAAAGCCGCTATCACCAAACCGTTGTTTACTCCACACTACACAGGTGACCTGCTCTCTCTTTTTTTTTGTCTTTCTGTCGTCCTCTGTGTATGAAATTAAGTATTCATGGCAGTAGTGATGTTCACTTAGTTCCACCTGCAGGCTGTGTACTCCCATAAGAAGGTGAAAATGGAGGGGACCATTGGCCAGCAGACCAAGCTCATTGACTTCCTCCAGGCCCAGGCTCATGATGGCTCCAAAAAGAAGAAGGTCAGAGGAGATTTCAGATTTAGTCTTCATTTCATCAGGCAGTTGTTACATGCAGACAGGTCTGTACACTGAAGCAGCTCCTCCTGTGTTCACCCATATGGATGTGGCTACTGGTTGTCAGTTGGCCTCGTGTTTCAACACATTTCAGTCTCCAGTCTCAATATATTTGCCCATATTGACATAAAGGGAGCTTAAAATTGATTGTTATTGGGACCAGGCGGTCATGTTATATGGAAAGCATTTGGCTCCACTGTGCTATAAATAGGATTGGGCTTTTGGTGGGACTAAAGTGATCTTCAATGTGATTTCCAAATCATTTCATTCATTATTTTCACTTTGCTTTTACTTTAGGATATTCCATGGTAGGCTTTTATTGATTGACTTATTTAGACAATATTATTGCCCTTTATGCCCTGCTTAGGTGTCCTATGTGTGGACAATAGATTAGCTCCTCATGGGTTTGCAAATGGAACACATTAAATTCACCCAGTTAAAGCCCATGTCCACTCTGTGTGTTTCTCAGGGCCTGTTTGGTCGCCGTTGTGAGGACCTATTGGCTGCCATGGCTGCTCAGGCCCAGGGTCAGGGTCAAGGCCAGGTGTCACCGGTGCCCCCCATTCAGCCAGTTCCTCTGCAGTACAGCGACATGAAGCTGGCTCTGGACAAAGAACGTGCTCACTGCTCTGAGCTGGAAGATGCTCTGCAGAAAATGAGAGCAGAGCTGAGATCTCTGAGAGAAGAAGGTCAGACTAGTATTTAAAAACCTGCCGTCAGGGCTCAGTGTGTTTCTTTTAGCCAAGAAGAAGTTTGATGCTATCACTGAACAGTGAAATACATTTAGTCCTTAATCAGAAATGTGTCCCAAGTTTGATCCCAGTGTACATTACAGTCTTTAAATACTATTTCTAAAAATGATTTTAATGAGCCACAGTCAGTTTAGGAAAGGTCACATTGTTTCTTTTTACCTTTTAACTCATGTAAAATAAATCGGAGGTTGGCCTTATATAATTCCCATAGCAAAACTGATGCTATACTCATCTCAAGCATCCAGTCTAATTTTAGCTCCTGTACATGAAGCTGTTATGGCCAAATGTTAGAGACAACTTTCTTAATTTTGAAAAGCTTTGCGGACCAACTTTGACTTATTTATGTGCTAAATTTTTAGCAAGTACTAATCTAATTTTATTATATAATTGAGGCATTTATGGCTATTTTGCACAGTAAGCCATTTTTGTGTTTATTGTTTGGATTATATGACAAAAAATGTACAACAATTGATATATTTTGTACATATGGTTAAGTTAGAAAAAATAATAATTTTATATATTTTTATTTTTAAACAATGGTCAACATGGTTATCAGAATGTATATCTACTTAACAATAAGAAACTTTTAACAGCAGGTATCTTATACATTTTCCTAAACTCCAGCACTCCAGTACAAAGACCAAGGTAACTCTTCAAACCCACCGTCATCACGTCAGCAGATGATCATGTCTGCCATGGTGAAGTCTCCTGAACACCAGCAGGCTCCTCCAAACCTGGCCCCCGTTAACTCTGGACGCAGGAAGGAAACTGCAACACCTGAGGGTGAGTGACAGAGAGACTGCAGAGGTAAAACTTCTTTCCTCTATTTCAACAACACAACAGCAACATTCCCAGGTCCTGGCCGTGACATGTTCACTCAATCACACACACACAGAGGAAATGATCTGTGGAGCTCATATGATCCTTTTTCTTTCACACACACCTTTTAGAGAGAAGGAGGGTCACTTTTGAAAGTAAGTCAAAGCTCTGAAACCCCCGGAGTTATATGGCTCAGACTGTTATCTTTTATCTCTTTACTTTTGTCTCATTCACATCCCTAAAGGCCAGATTTTAAAAGCTCTGTACTTTTCTAAAATGTCACCAGGCTGGTGATGATTGTCAGGTGAGTCTCAGACATTTTCACCTTTATATTTTATATGACAGTCAGTGCACAGCTTTAAAAAATCTGAAGCTTTCTACTTTGGTTGCTGAAGCTGATTTGATTTGCAGGCCTTGCTGCTCGTCAACTCATGATGAAGTCACCTAAAGGTCACATGATCACACACCAATGTCATTGATAGATGGAATCAACAAGTTTCTCTCCAAAGCAAGTTTTAAAAAAAAACAAAACAATTAAAGGTATTATTCAGTTATTTGTTAAGTGTTATTCGTTTCTAAAAAAAGTGCCAAGTTTCAAACAAATAAAAGTGCATCAGATTGTCATTCACATCTATAACTTTCATCATGTCAACCCACACTGGTAAAAATAAAATAAATAATACAATCATTTTGAAAAGACAAAAAGATCGTATCTGAAAGGGGAGTGTTATATCTAAAGACAAGTTTGAAGGATTTGGTGGCCTCTAGAGGTGGAATTATGTATTGTTAACAGCTGAATTAAATTGGCTCAACAACAATCATTGAATATGACAGTTTTACAAGTTGCACAACGTTCTTGATTGATTAAATTAAACAACTAAGGTTCCTGGTACTGTTCCTAGCACCTGGTATCGGTTCCTGTAATGAATTTATGCCTGAAGATTGTTGGACAAAGAATGCAGTCATTTTGAATCAAATGTTTATGGGGCCAATCATTAGGACAAATTAAAAGTTTAGTAAAGGCTCAGTTAGCTGAAATTATTGACAGGTTTAATAGAGACCAGACCCCTCTTAAAAACGAATGAACACACCAATTAAAACAAACTTTACCCTTTAGCAGTCCTCACTCCAAAAGGGGGGTGAACGATAATTTGGTCTAACCCCTGACAACTAACACTTCTTTCCTTTCCTTCATTCCTTTTCTTTTCCAATGTGAAGAAATGAAGTTAATGGGTATTTTTAAATTGTGGTACATGAACGTGTTAGTCAGGTAGTGAGTTATCATGTACCCACATGTGTATAGCATGGTATTTGCCCAAATGCCTACAGCCTGGTATTTGCCCAAATGCCCATGCCTTGAACTGTTTGTCAGGACTCAACTTCTTCTGAGATTTTACAGGACTAAATGGACAATATGGATGACAATGGATTATGGAATATGGACTTATGGACTGTACAACCTTGTGCTCTCAGGGTTACGACTCTGTCATATCCCTAAGACCAAAGGGGGGATATGTAGGTACTACAACAGTCCTTTCAAGGGCTCAAACTCCCATAATTCCACTGCTTCCGGTAAATCCACATACGTCACGATCAGTAACCTCCGCAACCTTTAAATTGGGGGGTCAGCCCAATATCGTTCTCTCTGTTCAGGACTTTCGCTCCGTAGGACCCTGATGATAAGAGAAACCTGCTCGTCTCAGAAGACTAAGAACCAACGCGCTTTTGTAGACACCATTGCCCACGGTGATAAATGCACTAGTAGCGTCTTTTTCTTAACTGAGTTAACCGGTAATTAAGTTACACAAGTAACGTAGCGCTGCGACCAAAGCAGTTATTGAAAAGTTTAGAAGCGACAGGATTCCTTCTAACGGTATTCGTGTGAACCGGCACATCGACAGTCAGAGACTTTTCCTCCCGAAACGGACTTTCGGAACCAAGAGGACTCTCTGGACACAGTGGAACCAGACGGACGTCCCCAGCTCTGGCAAGGACCCAAGAAGTGCGGACTTTCCACTACCCTCTCAATACGAGCAGACGTTCACTACAGTAAGGCTGGCATTTGGGCACGTTAGTTAACCTGTAGTATTGTTAAGTGCTATTTAAACTGAGGAACAGTTTAAGTACGCATATTGAATTTTGTTGTCTGAAATCTGTGCTGCTTTTATAGCTAGGCTGTTGCATGCACTTCTTTTCTAACCTCCTGACTCGGTGTTATACTCTTGTACACCGTCAGTATTTCAGTGTTAACTTGGAACGTTATCAGTATTGGGATCAGGAAAACTCCGACAAAGTCCTTTGTCTGGAGTAGACCACGCGGTACGCCTCCCTTCCCCCATATACTTTGATAACATCACAAGCACTGTTTCATTGTACCTGAGCGCATCTTGGTGCGCGTACACAACACCCATTCACACCTCCGTGAGCGCATACACGCCTCACGTGTTTCCTGTTGCCGTTCCTTCTACCTCGCAGTTCTTCTTCCACTGCGCAGTCACGTATGTGAACACGCCTCAAGGGCTCAGTCGCTTGCTTGGTAGCTAAGAGGCAACATCCCTCTCTCTCTTTTTCTTACATGACCACTCGTGTAAACACACACCTACACACACACTTATGCCTTGTTTTGTTATGATCATTGTTTGAGTTCAATCACTGTCATTAACTTTACAGTGTTGTATAAATAAATTTGATTATTTTTGTAAACTGTTTGTCTGTGTTACTTTATTCATTGAAGCCACCAAATTTGCCAAGATGTCTAAAAATCCTTCAGATATTTAGTTGTTATTATAGTATATGTGTAATACTCCAGGTAATACATTATTGCTATATTAGTAGGTTAAAGTAATAAAGTTAACTTTAACGAGACTGGTTGTGTTATTAATTTGAGACTGGTTAATAACACCGTGTGCTCCTAAGCAGCACTCGACCCATTGCACCTACAAATGATAAATGTCTATGAAGATTCTCAGTCATCCAGGTCATGGTCAAGGTTGAAGAGTTCTGTTAGGCAACTGGATGTGAATTTTCTAAAAGAAGACATTTCACCTCTCATCCAAGAGGTTTCTTCAGTTCTAACTGGTGGTGGGGAGTACAGCAAATATATACTCTGGGTGTAAAGGAATAAAGCTACTTCAGCTCCCCCCTGTTAGGGGATAAATGAAGTAAACATATTGCCACTCAGTATTTGCTAAAATCTGCATTCAGAATAAATGGACACACTCTTGTAAACAAACAAAATTGAAAAAAAAAAAGTCATCATTGACTGAATAATACCTTTAAGATGCTGCGGTGAGTGGACTCACACCATAAATGATCAAGTCAATATTCTTTTCAACCATCTTATGCTTTTTACAGAACATCTTACGGTCGTCTGATTCTCTTCTCATGCAGTAGCTGTTATGGCATGATGCTGATGAAGGTTCATGACTGAAATGGTTGGAGAATTCCCTGCGTTGACTGTGTTTACCGTTTACCTGTACTGTGTCAGAGTACAACCGTTGTCTGAAGGAGAGTCAGAGAGACAGAGAGAGGGAGAGGGAGAGAGTCATGCACCACAGCACCGCCCATCGCTTTACTGTGGGTCTCAACATGAGGGCAGCCAAGTGCACTGTCTGTCTGGATACAGTGCACTTTGGTCGACAAGCTGCCACCTGCCTGGGTGAGTTTTACCCCACAAAAGGTGAAAAATTTCATATTGACATGTAATAAAGGAAAGAACAATTTAAAAGTTAATTAAAATGTCAAATTAATACACTGTCTTTGTTACTGTCTAGGAGACAACTTGTCCAACATTTCTAGCTAAACTGATGTCCTTTAACTTATTTCTATTTTGATATGTATATTGTCTCCTCAGAGTGTCACGCGTTGTGTCACCCTAAATGCTCCCCCTGCCTTCCGTCTACCTGTGGCATGTCCAGTGACTGCTCACTGCATCTGTCTGAGGGTCTGTGTCGAGACAAAGGACAGCAGCTGAAAGACTGCAGCGGACACATGCATGTGGAGGGATGGATGAAGCAGCCCAGGTCAGATATGGGCACAGGAGCCGTGTAGCACATAAAAACCAACAGTGTGAATTATGGGAAAATTTCCCCTTAGCTACAGTATATCTGCCAACAAACCTAATTTAATCAATAGAAACAAATCTAGAAAAGAACAAGAGCACCACCTTTTTCTAACCTTTTTTTAATACAAAAACTCACACCTTGTTTGTTTGCAGGAATGGGAAACGAGGCCAAGCCTGGGAGCGGAAGTTTGTGGCCCTAGATGGAACTAAAATATCAGTCTATGAGGTGGAGCCCAGAGAAGGTATTTGTTTCACTTCACACAGATCTTCAGAGTTCACACATCAGACAGAGCTACAGTTTCATATGTTTATATGTTTGTCTGCCTGCCTCAGACTCAGTGAAGCCTCTGGAAAAGTTTGACCTTTGTCTGTCAGATGGAGAGGTGATGGTTCATGGAGCTGTTGGAGCATCTGAGCTGCCAAACACGGCCAAGTCAGGTAGACAGTGTTAGCGTTTCCAAACACTTTCCAAAATTCCTCCCTTTCCTTTCCATCCTATCTTGTCACTGAAGTCATAACCATCCTCCTGTTTTCCTGTGATGCAGATGTTCCTTATGTCATCAAGCTGGAAACTCGGTGCCATGCCCCCTGCTGGCCTGGACAAAGTATTTACTTTATGGCTCAGAGTTTCCCAGAAAAACAACGCTGGGTGTCAGTCATAGAGTCTGTGGTTGCAAGTGGGCGAGCGTCGAGGGAGAAGGCTGAGGCTGATGCAGTAAGTGTCTCTGAACCAGTGGAGAAGAAACCAGGACACGATCTTCATGTATAACCACTGTCTGCTTAGTCAAAGAAGAATAACTAGAGAATAAAATATCCAGAGAAGACTTAATTGAGCTGTTCTTTTCTTATAGCGAAGACCAGGACACCTAGATAGAAGATAGAAGCCTGTTGGATTTGAAGAGATGAGATGAATTCAAATTAGATGAGAGATGATAAGACATGAGAGAGAAAAATATTTTTACAAGAATTACATTTGTCACCTCTCTTATTCCTTGCACTTGCCTTGAGGTCATGGCCCAGCTGATCTTTGACCTACAGTATGTCACTCTGTTCCACAGAAACTGTTGGGAAACTCTCTGCTGAAGCTGGAAGGAGACGACAGGCTGGACATTAACTGCACTCTTCCTCTGACAGATCAGGTAGAACTTCCTCCGACAGGTTGTACCTTCACGTCTTACTCTGCCTTTGGGTTATTCACATACTCAGATCTTACAGACTATGTATTGGTGGTTTGATTTCATTATATCCACTGGAGTGATTCTGCTTTTGTGGTCCTGCTGCAGATCGTACTGGTGGGCTCTGAAGAAGGTCTGTATGCCCTGAATGTTATCAAGAACTCCCTGACCCACGTCCCTGGTCTTGGGTCAGTCTTTCAGATTCACATCATCAAAGAGCAGGAGAAACTTCTGATGATTGTTGGTGAGATGTTCAGATTGATTGCCTGTTCTGCACAGGTGATGTTGCATAGTAATCATCAATCATACAGATTTTAAGATGTTTTGTTTTGTTCATCCAAATTTTAATAAAAGATAAAAATAAAAAGTTAAAATAGTGTTTGTGAACAAAAGCTGCTTTGAACCATTTTGTCTGTGTGTGTCACTACAGGTGATGAGAGAGCTCTGTGTCTGGTGGAGATAAAGAGAGTCAAACAGTCTCTGGCTCAGTCTCACCTGCCCAGCCAGTCTGAACTGGCTCCATACATCTTTGAGACAGTGAAAGGCTGCCATCTCTTCTCTGCTGGGAGAGTAGGACAGAATTTTTCTTCTCTCTGCCCTGTCAGATATGAACATAAACAATTGTACCCGCCATAAATTTTACTGTTCTGTGCATTGTGTTTCCAAACTAAATATTGGGTGAAGGAAGTGAAAAATCACTGATAATTGTTAAGGTTTTATAATGAATGTGTTTTTCTATACAGATGCACTTCATGTCAGTGTAACTTGACAATCCTTGTTCCAGAGTGTTTTTATTTATTACTGAACATAAACTCTGTACATCAGCTGACCACTCTTGACCTTATGTGTGACTTTTCACATTCTGGCCTTTTCTCTAACAAATATTTCTGTGCTTTAACATTCTATTCTCTTCACAGGTAGACAATGGTTCCTGCATATGTGCAGCAATGCCCAACAAAATAACCATCCTTCGCTACAATGACAATCTCAACAAATACTGTATTCGTAAGGTGGGTACCAAATACTACTCTGATGTACAGTTTGACCGAAAAACAACAACTGCAGCAAACATTACAGGAGGATCTGACAGTAAGCCACAGTAAAACATGGCTTTAGCCTGATGTTTATACAGATATGAAATAAGATGAGAAGATAATTCTGTTGGTCTGAGTTAACTCATATAAACCTCTTAGGGTAATGTGTTTCCCCCTGACAGGAAATTGAAACTCTGGAGCCGTGCAGCTGCATCCACCTGACCAGCTACAGCATCATCATTGGTATCAACAAGTTCTACGAGATTGAAATGAAGCAGTTTGTGCTTGACGGTAAGGAGTAGTGTTAATTTACTCAGCAGTGCAGCTGCACTGGGAATATCTGTATGACCTCCGTGACCATTTCAAATTTAATTTAATTTAACTCGCAGATCAATTAATTAAGTTCCTTTTGCTGGTACTGGGCTGGACCGGGGATTTGTATGTGCAAGACTTCATCTCACAACTGCTTTAGATCTGCTGACTTTGGCTGCTCCCAAAGTACAGTGATGTCATTTCCATGTTTAAGAACCAGTTTTAAATCATCTAAACTTTTTAAACATTATTCAAACACACGTGTTAAACTCAAGGCCTGCGGGCCATATTCGGCCCATCATATCCTTTTATGCGGCCCATCAGAGCTTCACATTTCTGTTTAAATCATTGTCAGTACTAGACTTTTCTATGAATGGTAATCCTGTTCTGCCCACAACTTAGACTGGATGTTAGATTTTGGCCCCTGGAGTGATTGAGTTTGACCTCCCTGACACACATCCATGTACTGAATGTGTCTCCCTTTTCACAACCATATGTGCTTTTAAAGTTCCACCCACATTCCGTCCAAAATGCTTTCCAGAGGTGCCATAATCTCTTGGACATGAGGTCTAGAACACTGTCCAGCAACTGCTGATCAAAACTGAGTCCTGGATGAAATAAAATCTAATCAGATACTCTGCCCTGCATTTTCTATAAACCTTTATTTTATACAGAACTCAAGGGATATTGCTTATTAATATTCCTTTTATTTTCCCTTTATATTTTGAAAAATGATTTCTCTTTTTCTATTTTACATACTAAATTTCTATTTTTTTTTAAATGCCCCTGCAAGAGCGAGAGTATTTCTGACCCTGACTACAATTCGGGTCGGTGTAGTCCAGGTACAGTATGTCGGTATCACTAAGATAATGTCTGTCTCTGCAGAGTTCCTGGATAAGAATGACATGTCTCTGGCCTCGGCCGTCTTTGCAGCAGCATCCCACAGTTTCCCCATCGCCATCATGCAGGTGGCAAGCAGCCTGCAGAAGGAAGAGTATCTGTTGTGTTTTCATGGTAGGTGTGAGGAAACTAATTCACTGTCCAAAGTGGAGAAAAAAAACCCAAAGGTAATAAGTGAGAAAATGATGAGTGTGAGGCTAATTAAACTTTAATCAACTGATACCAGACCTGTCCAGATAGTGTAGGTAATAATAAAATGCATGTAGCTGTATGTCACAATACGATTCAATTCTTACACTATAGTGGCGCTTTAGCCCAGAGGCAATGTCTCTGTCATTGGTGTGGAACCCCAGGCTTTACCTCCTGGGCAAGATTGAATCCCGGTTAGGGTGATTGGCACCTTCCAGTGGGCTCACCATCTTCCTGCGGGTGATGCAAGCTTGCCAAGGAGGTGAACCCTGGGGTTCCACACCAATGACAGAGACATTGCCTCTGGGCCAAAGCGCCACCATTACATTTATATATATTTTGTATTTTAATTGCTCATTAACTACCAGCACTATCGTTGTGATCCACTGGTGGATAATGATTTAGGACATGAAAACATCAGAAGAGTCTGTGTTTTCCTTGGAAGCCATAATGAAGAGGAAAAAGTTCTCAAAAACAAAAACAGGGAAAGTAGATGTAGCACAATCTAATGTACTGTACAGCGTACATCTGGTGAATGTAAACAAAGCTGTCTTCTACGTATAGCGTGTGTGATGATGTATTCGTCCGCTAGCCAACTAGTTCCCATGCAAAATTTGTTGTAACGCTGTACGTCAGAATGATAGAATATGACTCAAACTTTGGACCCTTATACTAGGATTTTTTAAATAAAATTTACTTCTACCTGTTTCTTACACACAGTCTGTAGTTGGGTCACAGTCCGAGGCAGACTGAGTACAGTGACTTTTATCTGTGCCACAGAGTTTGGAGTGTTCGTGGACATGTACGGACGAAGAAGCCGGACTGAGGAAATCAAGTGGAGTCGTCTCCCTCTGTCTTTTGGTAGGAGAACTTTGTGACTCGAATCTTATTTCTGCTGCATTTAAACTCGATTGATTTTTCTGTATAATCCTATGACAAATACTTTTTGGTGTCCAGCTTACAGAGAGCCGTATCTGTTTGTCACCTACTTCAACTCTCTGGATGTGGTGGAGGTTCAGGGACACTCCACTCTGGGGTGAGACAGCACAGAAGCCACATCCATTTTCAAATACTTTAATTATTTTTGGGTGATTTTACAGAAACTCCTCTGTCTGTTTCCAGTCCCACCGTGCTGGCCCAATTGGACATCCCCAGCCCTCGCTACCTGGGCCCAGCCATCTCCTCTGGGGCCATTTATTTGGCCTCATCCTATCAGAACAAAATGAGGGTCATCTGCTGTAACGGCAGTCTGATCAGAGAGTCTTTAGAGCTGCAGAGGAGTGGATCCAGCTGGGGGTTGGTTTCATCTGACCCTCAGAAAGAGACAGAAATAATAAATGTACTGCTTACAGCAGCATTAAAATGCAGTTCCGTTAGATCAGGTCAAATTCCCCCACATACAGTAAATGCAGTGGTGTACCGTATATTTCTCACCTAGGACTTCAGTGGTGTCCTGACCAAACAGATTTGCATCCTAATAACTTCATTATGTTTACAGAAATCATCAATATTATGTAGAAATGTAATATAACAAGTCATTATATCATAGATAACTCATGTAGCCATAATACCACCAAGAAAGCACAATTCAGCCACAGCTGTGATGTGAAGTACATCAAAAAGCATAAAAAAAATCAATATTATCAAAAAAAAAATCATATGTACATAAATCTCTCCTCCTTTCTTTCCTTAAGAGTTCAGTTTTTCTTTCTATCTCCATCCATGCTAATGCTGAAAGAAAACTTCATTTTCAGGCGTGCAAGTTGTTATAGATACAGTTTGGTAGTTTTGAGCGTGCGTTCTTTGACCATCTAATCAAACCACTCAAATCACCAAGGTAACTGTATGCCTGCCAGAAGGACTTGCCAACTCAAAATGTGACCGGTTGAAGAAACAATCACTGTCATTCATTTTATGCTCCCAGCGCCCACACTGCTGACTCTGATGGTTTTAGGGCAAATTTCTTCCACCCTGGCAACATGTGAAGTACACTCGACTGGAGGCAGCGGACTATTCGTGATAAATATATTGAATAAATAAATAACGAAAAATAAGGTACTAATTCTGATACTATTTAGGCCAGAGGATAAGGCAGACCTGGCCAAACTACGGTGCGAGGGCTGAATGTGGCCCGTTTTAAATTTTAATCCGGCCCGTAAACTTGTCCATACTATTAATTTTTTAGCATTTTAGCCTTTATGCATGACTTTCACATGTCATTTATCTTACTTCATACAAACACTCACTCACATCTATCTGCTCCTGATCTGACCCCAGTGTCAAATTTTAAAACCCATTATGGCCCGCAAGTCTTATTACTATTATTATGGGCCCAGAACCTGTCATAAATATTTATACATAAACATAAACTTCCATCACATATCTCACACAATTCTTCACACAAACTTTGCATATGTATTGCTGTCAATGCTATCAGTTTTTGTCATTTGTCAAAATCAGTTTCTCTTTTCTTATGACATTTGTTTCTGTTGTTTTTTCCTATCTTTTAAGTTATACATTTATTTCTGTTAATTTTATTTATTTTCATTTAATTTTTGTTTTACCTTTTCATTTTTGGCTTCCTCTGTTCTCTGTATCTGTAATCATATGAAAAACTGCTGTATAAAGAAAGAATATGTATACGAAAATGTATACTTATGCTGAAACAAAAAATAAAAGTTCCAAAAAAGAACAAGGAAGAAACATAGGCATAAATAAATTAACTGTAGTTTGAAAATCCGTAAATAGCCTAAAAACACAATTTTTACAGCAGCTCAACTCCAATGTCCAACACCACCATCTGGTGTAAAAAAGATTAACTACACACAAGATACTCCAGATATTGTAAAACTGGGCCAAAAATGTTACACATTTATACAAAGAAATGTGAGTGAAATGAAAACCATTGAATGTTTTCAGCTGCTCCAAAAACTCACTGCAGGTTAAACACATACAAAGGTTAAACACACACAAAAACCAAAAACAATAATAAAAGGTATTTTTTCATTTCATTTTAACTCATTTTCTTTGTTGCTGGACAGCACACTCCTGACACACAAGTACCCATGCATGTGGATAGCATGCTGCTAGGCTACACAGGGTGTTACAGCAGTGATTTATTCTGCTGTAGAAACGTATGACAATAGACTGGGCCACTATTAAGTTGTATTTGGGCTGGATGTGGCCCTCGGGCCACTATTTGAACAGGTGGGCAATATATCACGCTTCCTTGGCATTTTACTATAGAAGTTTTAAGCAAATTTAAACATTTTTATGTCATTTTTTTTCTTTGGCGCTTGCAAATTTTGTATTCCCACTAATGGCGCTTAATAGTGAGTTTGTCTCTGGTCTTTCACATGACACTTAATAAACACTAAATAACTGGCTACACGTCAGACTGACCTGGTATCCTCTGCTCTGCCTTCTACAGCAGTCCCACCAAGCGATGCCCACCAACCTACACCGAGCACATCACCAAGCGTTTGACCTTGGGCCCTGGCAGCCATGATGGTCTTCATCGGGAGCCCAGCACCCCCCACCGCTACCGTGAGGGAAGGACTGAATTCAGACGAGACAAATCTCCTGCCCGACCACTGGAGAGAGAGAAGTCACCCGGCCGGGTGTTGGACAGTCGTAGGGAGAGGTCCCCTGGGAGATTTGGGGAGAGCACCCATGCTGGCTCTGTCAGAACACAGTTGGCTCCTGTAAATAAGGCGCACAGGCACATACATATGCTTGCTTGTTAGTGATTCAGTATCATGTGTCGTCTGACCTTTTTTCCTTGTGTTGTTCAGGTTTGGGACCAGTCATCCGTGTGAACCCATTTCTGCTCATGACAAATTTTCATGACAACCTCGACCTTCACACACACAAACACATGCCTCAGGCCAACTCTCAGCCTCATTGCCTGTACATAGTGCAGACTGGCTTCCTCTCTGAACGGCTTCAAAACTGGAGCAGGAAATGTTTCCTTAGACAATCCGCTGTTTTTGAGTCATTGGCAAGGAATGTGGATTGATTTACAGATCAGGAGAATCTACTTTATAATATACAGTTGTCTTAGATGTAAATATGGCTGTGTGGTTTTTATAGATAAAGGGCATAGTTGGCTGGTGAAGCCAAGTCTATTTTTTATTAAAAATTAGTTTCTAATCTGATGTTGCAGGGAGAGAATGACAATGTCAGTGGATGAGAAACAAATGAGGATGAAGTCATCAGGAATCTGAGTTCACTTTGCACATGAGATTGGATTTGAACAGGAGTTAAAAATCTCCTTACCTGATCAGTGTTTTTTCTTTGGATCAGATGTTTGATCCTGTTCATCTTTAAATATGTTCCTCCACATGATTGCTTCACTGACAGTCGTCGTCTGGCCTCACTTTGTACAAAGCAATTATTAAGCACTGTTTTTTGCTCCAAGTATTCCTTGTGTTGTTTTTTTCTTCAAGGCAAAAAAGAAGAAAATTTACTGCTCTGTCACCGATGCGGGACATTGCACTGTCCAGCCTCAGGGGGCGCTGACTCAGCTTGGTCTTATTCTGCTGCTGCCGACTATGGTACAGGTTATGTCCTGTTTCTGTGCAGTGGTTTAAAAATCTATATAGTTGTCGGGGTCGTCATCGCATTGCATCGTTTCTTTGGAGCTGACCAAATCCTTCATTTGTCACATCGGGAGAGCATGAGTAATCAGCAACTTTTCAATCTTGACTTTCTCTTCTTTGTTCTTTTTTGGTCAATTATCCAATTGAATTTGCATTCAATTAGTAAATTTTGATGTTGGTCTTGATTTTCAGTGTTATAGCATTGTCATAGCATTGGTCTAGCGACATGCTCAAAATATTGTGACAAGTGCTGCACAACAAGACACTTACAAAACACTACTGTGTATTTTTTGACACGAATGAGTACCATGTTACTGTTATAGTTGGAAATGCTGGAGTACAGTTCTGACTGGCCCTGAAGAGCATTGAAGAAATTTCTTCCTCTTGACGATACTTGCTCCTGGAGCTGTAGGAACAAATGGACATAAAAAAGACCCACTCCCATTTTTGTGCAACTTTGACTTGTAACTGTTGGTCCCTGGATGCTTCAATATCAGCAGAAGTTGACTCGTAGTAGTTGGCCAGCATATCCTTTCTCAGCTGAGGTTTGGAAAGTCATTGATGTCTGGAACATTTGGAGGACTGTGACTGAGCTGATTGCATACAGAACACTTACAGGTCCATTGGGCTAAAGCAGGGTTACATTCAAAATGACAAAACAAAGGAAAAACACACCTATGATTGTGAGACTTCTCACCTCTGCTGTTCCTCAATTAGAGTTTCACTCTTTGCCACAGCAGACAGCTATGGAAGCCAATTCCCACCACAAGGGAGAAAAATAATGGATACTAAAGTTTCATAATAATGGGATACCATTTCATTATTAGAAAATAGTATCTCATTATTTTGGCCTCCTGCAGACCAGAAAATTACAAGATAGTATCCCATAATTGTGAGACACCATGTCATTATTATGACTTAATCTGATGAGATTTCTCCTTGTCAATAATTAATGCAGATAATAAGGGATGTATGTTTTTTGTAGATACACTATATTACCAAAAGTATTCGCTCACCCATTCAAATGATCAGAATCAGGTGTTCTAATCCCTTGGCCTGGCCACAGGTGTATAAAATCAAGCAAGTCGCCGACTTTCTGCACAGTCAATTGCTACAGAGCTACAAACTTCATGTGACCTTCAGATTAGCCCAAGTACAGTACGCAGAGAGCTTCATGGAATGGGTTTCCATGGCCGAGCAGCTGCAGCCAAGCCACACATCACCAAGT